TAGCCTTGCAAATCAGCAGTGTATCCTTCCCTATGCTCAAAGTCCTGAGCAGTGTATCAGATCCCCAGAGGAAAGTCACCTCTGTCTGAAAGGCACCAGGTAGCTCCTCTGAACCCCCATAATGAATGGGGCCACGTCTCCCCAGGTGTCTGGGTGAGGATAACTTTCATTTGTAGTGTACAATGCCACGACTGCTTTTGTAACAGTTTTAGGCAGGTTGTGTAAAAAGGCCAGTTGCGGTAGCTGGTGTCCTGTTAGAAGCGTTCTTGAATAGGAGGGAAGCGGTGAACGTGGTATACTTTGAGTTTGATAAGTTCCTTGATACTATCTCGCATGACCTTTTCATAAACAATTGAGCAAAATACAATCCAGATGGACTATGAGACGGTGAGTGCATAACTGGTTGGGAAACTATTAACAGACAGTAGTTCACAGGCAAACAGAAAAGGCATCTCGATTGGGTTCCCCATTCTGTTCAATATCATCATCAATTATGTAAATCATGGCATCAAACGGGGGCGGGGGACCTTCTTTGGGTCGGAGGCCACTGACCCATAGAAAAATCAGGCAGGGGTTGCACACGAGGGGAAAAGCAATTAAAAAACAAAAAACCCACCTCTGCTAATGGGGCCTCTGACTGAGAAGGAGACAGAGACGCCGCATGTTCCTTTTGCACACTAGAGCTGAGGGGTGGGCCAAGGGTAGTAGATTTTGTAGGCTCCAGTCCTGCAGGGGGCTGAAGCCCCAGTGTGGGTTCCCCAATACTAGAAGGAGCCCTGAACCTCAGGGGCCGAATCCAGGCGAGCCGAGGGCCGCATTGGCTCCTGGGTCTTAGGTTCCCCAGAGAGAGTGCATTTATACAGTTTGCAGATGAGACCAAGCAGCGAGGGTGACAATTGCTTTGGAAGATAGGACTAAAATTCCAAATGATCTGGAGAAACGGTCTGAGGTCGATAAGGACAAATGCAAAGTGCTCCACCTAGAAAGGAACAATCAGTGGAACACACAGGCTGTGTCTAGACTGGCCAGTTTTTCCGGAAAATCAGCCGCTTTTCCGGGAAAAATTTGCCAGTTGTCTACACTGGCCGCTTGAATTTCCACAAAAGCACTGACTTCCTACTGTAAGAAATCAGTGCATCTTGCGGAAATACTGTGCTGCTCCCATTCGGGCAAAAAGTCCCTTTTGCGCAAAACTTTTGCGCAAAAGGGCCAGTGTAGACAGCTGAGATTGGTTTTGCGCAAAAAAGCCCCGATCGTGAAAATGGCGATCGGGGCTTTTTTGCGGACAAGTGCGTCTAGATTGGCATGGACGTTTTTCTGCAAAAAGTGTTTTTGCGGAAAAGTGTCCGTGCCACTCTAGACGCTCTGTTCCAAAAATGCTTTTAACGGAAAACTTCTCTGTGAAAAGCATTTGCGGAAAATCATGCCAGTCTAGACATAGCCATACAGGATGGGAGATGACTGTCTAGGTAGGAGAAGTGAGGAAAGGGATGTGTATGGGGCAGAGGTCATAGACCATAAACTAAATATGACCCACAAGAGTAACACTTTTTCAAAAAAATAAAAGCAACCGTTATTGTGGGGGATGTTTCTTCTCTTTTTCATCCGTGTGGGTTTTTTTATCTAAGTGCAGAATACATTTTATGTGCACTGAAGTATGAGCAGATGTGCACCACCAGTGAAAACAAAATCTATCTGTAGGTGCTCTGCTAATTAGCTGGGCAGCATTTGAATCTCTCCTGAGTGAGTGCACAGCTTAGAAGTAACACTGATTCTGAGATGCCTTAACAGGAGAGTTGTAAGCAAGACGTGAGAAGTAATTCTGCTCTACTTTACACTGAGGCCTCAGCTGGAGTACTGTGTCCAGTTCTGAGCACCACATTTCAGGAAAGATGTGGACAAACTAGAGAAAGTCCAGAGAAGAGCAACAAAAACGATTTAAAGGTCTAGAAAACACGACCTGTGAGGGAAGATTGAAATACAGGGGTTTGCTTACAATGGAGAAGAGAAGACAAAGGGTGCGTCTACGCTGCACCCTTAGCTTGTAATAAAATACACAATTTGCACTACTGAGATTTAGGTCCTTTTTGGAAATAGGCTATTTTGAAATTTGGTGTCTACACAGCACCAAATTTCAAAAGAAAACACTATTTTGAGAGATCCTTTATCCCTCGTGCAATGTGGTTTACAGCGATGCCAAAACAGTGTGTCTGCTATATTTCAGGGTAGCAATTTTGAGATACCGCTGGTATCCCGAAATAGCATTGCAATGTAGACGTACCTGAGAGGGGACAGAACAGCTTTCAAGTGCATGAAAGATTGTTACAAGGAAGAGGGAGAAAAATTGTTCTCTTTGGCCTCTGAGGATAGGACAAGAAGCAATGGGCTTAAATTGCAGCAAGGGAGGTTTAGGTTGGACATTAGGAAAAACTTCCTAATTGTCAGGGTGGTTAAACACTGGGGCTACGTCTAGACTGGCATGATTTTCCAGAAATGTTTTAATGGAAAAGTTTTCCGTTAAAAGCATTTTCGGAAAAGAGCGTCTAGATTGGCATGGACGCTTTTCCGCAAAAGCACTTTTTGTGGAAAAGCGTCCATGGCCAATCTAGATGCACTTTTGTGCAAAAAAGCCCCAATCTCAGCTGTCTACACTGGCCCTTTTGCGCAAAACTTTTGCGCAAAAGGGACTTTTGCCCGAATGGGAGCAGCATAGTATTTCCGCAAAAAGCACTGATTTCTTACAGTAGGAATTCAGTGCTTTTGCGGAAATTCAAGCGGCCAGTGTAGACAGCCGGCAAGTTTTTCCGGAAAAGCGGTTGATTTTTCCAGAAAAACTGGCCAATCTAGACAGCCTGGAAGAGATTGTCTAGGGAGGTTGTGAAATCTCCATCGTTGAGATTTTTGAGAGCAAGATAGACAGACATCTATCCGTGCCTGCCAGACTCGTAGTCCTGCCTTGAATGTAGAGAACTGGACTTGATGACCTCTTGCCGTCCCTTCCAGCCCTATGGGGTCTCATGATGGCCTTCTCCGCGTCTCAATAAGAGAGGGTTGCACCTTTGCTTCTCCCCCCACCCCAGCAAAAAATGGGTGCTCATTTCTCACTGCAGAATGATTGAGACGCATCAGAGGCTTCCCTTCCTCCCCCTGCTCCCCCAGCAAAGCCTGGACCTGTAGCTGGGAGCAGGAAGCACTAGGTGGGGGGACAGTCTGTATGAAAGGGGCTATCCGCACACCCCCCCCCCCCCCCCCCCCCACACACACACACACACACACACACCAGTCACGCTGCCAGCTCGGCTCAGCTCTGTGCTCTCGAGACCAGCAGCCTAGGAATAACTAACCCAAACCTTCCTGCTTCCGGAGTTCACAAGCAGGCCTGAATGCAACAAACGTTGGTCCGAAAATACGGGCTCCTGGAAAGGAGAGTTCCTCTGCTCTCAGCTAGACCAGTCTTGTACTCTTTCTAGAAGGGCTTTTGCCCGTGGCAGAAGCTGCCTGATGTGAAGTCTGAACAAGCCCTGAAGAGAACCCCGGGGACTTTTCCAGCTTTCTTTTGTTCAGGGCTAGTTCTCGACAGTGCGCTGTTGTCACTGAGTTGTGACCTGACCCTGTAGCTTTAGAAATAATCTCCTACCCAAACCAGCACAGATTTACTGCCGAAACCTTGGGTATGCGGAGGGGAAGCCTCCTTATCAACCCGCATCACGCGTCTGATGGCGCTTTCAAAGATATCTCTAATCTCCATATACCGCAGAATCACTTACCGCTTGGTGCAAGTGCAGCCAGCAACAGCAGCCAAACCATTCTCTGTCCCGTTGCTCCTCTTGGTTATTGTGTGGGAGCAGGCACAGAGGGGCTGACTGCTTGCTGGCTTTTACTCCTGGCTCTGCAGGGTGACCCTGCTGTCTCTCAAAGAGCTCCTGGCCTTAGGGCAAGTCTCTGAGAACTCATCTGGCGCTTGCGTTTCTGAGAAAAGGTGACAGAGACTTTCCCTGTGCATAAGAAAGGTGCTCACTTGTTACATCAGAACCTGAGGCGCCGTTACAGGCTTTGCTCTTACCAAAAGCAAAAGAGAAACCAAGAAAACTACCCCCACTTTGATCTGTGCAGGGTTCTGTTCAGTCACTTCAAGGCAGCGTCACCAAAGCCACAAGGTCACCACATGTAGAGACAGGAGAGTGGAGAGCCCCACGCCGGAGCCCATCTCCATCTCAGGGGTGAATCGGGAGTCCTTCAGACTCCAGTCCCTGTTCCAGAGGGGCAACTCTGGAGTCTTTCCACAGACACCTGTATAGGTACGGCAGACTTACACCCACGTAACTTGAGATAAGAATCTGTCTGATACGTCCGGGCGTGCAGCCAGGAGTGTGTCTGTTTGAACTTCTCTTATTTCCAGAGTGCAACTGCCTTGTGTGAGTGCAAAAGCAACGAGGAGTCCTGTGGCACCGTACGGATTTATTGGGGCATAAGCTTTTGTGGGCATCTGATGAAGTAGGCCTTTGCCCCTGAAAGCTTATGCTCCAATAAATCTATTAGTCTATTAAGTGCCACAGGACTCCTCGTTGCTTTTGCACTCACACAAGGCAGTTGCACTCTGGAAATAAGAGAAGTTCAAACAGACACACTCCTGGCTGCACGCCCGGACGTATCAGACAGATTCTTATCTCAAGTTACGTGGGTGTAAGTCTGCCGTACCTATACAGGTGTCTGTGGAAAGACTCCAGAGTTGCCCCTCTGGAACAGGGACTGGAGTCTGAAGGACTCCCGATTCACCCCTGAGATGGAGATGGGCTCCGGCGTGGGGCTCTCCACTCTCCTGTCTCTACATGTGGTGACCTTGTGGCTTTGGTGACGCTGCCTTGAAGTGACTGAACAGAACCCTGCACAGATCAAAGTGGGGGTAGTTTTCTTGGTTTCTCTTTTGCTTTTGGTAAGAGCAAAGCCTGTAACGGCGCCTCAGGTTCTGATGTAACAAGTGAGCACCTTTCTTATGCACAGGGAAAGTCTCTGTCACCTTTTCTCAGAAACGCAAGCGCCAGATGAGTTCTCAGAGACTTGCCCTAAGGCCAGGAGCTCTTTGAGAGACAGCAGGGTCACCCTGCAGAGCCAGGAGTAAAAGCCAGCAAGCAGTCAGCCCCTCTGTGCCTGCTCCCACACAATAACCAAGAGGAGCAACGGGACAGAGAATGGTTTGGCTGCTGTTGCTGGCTGCACTTGCACCAAGCGGTAAGTGATTCTGCGGTATATGGAGATTAGAGATATCTTTGAAAGCGCCATCAGACGCGTGATGCGGGTTGATAAGGAGGCTTCCCCTCCGCATACCCAAGGTTTCGGCAGTAAATCTGTGCTGGTTTGGGTAGGAGATTATTTCTAAAGCTACAGGGTCAGGTCACAACTCAGTGACAACAGCGCACTGTCGAGAACTAGCCCTGAACAAAAGAAAGCTGGAAAAGTCCCCGGGGTTCTCTTCAGGGCTTGTTCAGACTTCACATCAGGCAGCTTCTGCCACGGGCAAAAGCCCTTCTAGAAAGAGTACAAGACTGGTCTAGCTGAGAGCAGAGGAACTCTCCTTTCCAGGAGCCCGTATCAGCCGTAAGGGACATCCCACAGTGCTGGCCCCCCCCATCCCCATGGCGCCAGCCAGCAGCGCCCTTCCCCCCATGGCCGCGGGGCCCTGCAGCGCCAGCAGTGGTGGCCGGGCTGGGCAGCGCATGTGCCATGCACCCCGGGGGTGGGCCCATGCCCCCAGGGGGTCGGGCCCGCACATGTGTCGTGCACCTGGGGGCGGTCCGGCATGCCAAAATGGCTCGGGCCAGCCCTGTTTCCAGGTGGGATTCAACTTCCTGAAGGGAGGCTCCAATGAGGATGAAGAGAGGCTGTTCTCAGTAGTGATGGATGGCAGAACAAGGAGCGATGGTCTCAAGTTACACTGGGGGAGATCTAGGTTGGAGATTAGGAAAAACTGTTTCCCTAGGAGGGTGGGGAAGCACTGGGATGGGCTCCCTAGGGAGGTGGGGAAATCTCCATCCCTAGAGGTTTTTAAGTCCTGGCTTGACAAAGCCCTGGCTGAGATGATTTAGTTGGGTTGGTCCTGCTTCGGGCAGGGGGCTGGACTCAGTGACCAGCAGAGGTCTCTTCCAGCCCTAGGATTCTATAATCCCTGATTTATTTAGGATTTCTAAGGCAATGTTATTTCAGAGAAAAATTCATCTCTTTAAAGGGGGCTTTTATTAGGACGAGAGCCCTAATTTCCCCTTGGATCCAATCCTGGCATGACCCCTTCATTACAACACCTGTTATAGAAATAACTGTGATTGTAGTATAGTCAGCACCGTGGCTTCACTGGAGGATCCACAAGAGGGTCAGATGGTGCAGGATAGGAAAAGCTCTTGTTTAAATCAAGACGTAATTAGCCACTTGCCCAGTGTCATGACCATGAGGGATGGGCAGCAGCCTGGGGACTAAGGGGTTAACTGTACCTAGACTGGTAGCAGTCAGCCAATAGAAATACAGATAGGGATTTCAAACTGAGACAAAGGAATTTTGGTTTTTTTTTCCCTCCTTTGTCTCTGGGTCAGTTTTTCTCCAGATACTGAGGGGGACAGACAACATGTCTCTCTCCAAGAAAAGACTTCAAAATGTGTAAGTAGGGTGAAGTTTAGGTAAATCTGTTAGGTTTTATTGTTTTATGGTTTGGGACTGTGGATCTGATGTCTGTGCATTTAGAAATGGGGTTTCCCCTCTTTTGTAATTAAGTTTTGTTCCCATGGGAAAACTCCCCATGAGTTTATTAATTGGTGGGTCTTCCATCTAGCCAATCAAACTATGTTTGTAACAGGAGTATTGTTCTGATAATAAAAGTTCTTCCTCTTTTATTAATCTAGTATTGGTTCAGTTCTGTGTCCTGGAAAATCTGTCTGTGGGATCTGCCTGCCTCTGACTAGGGGATAGCAGCCACAGACTGCCATTT